TGTAGATGAAAAATTACAAAACCCGTCGGTGCTTCCCCCCTATCATACTCCTCCAAATACAAAACGGTTGTTTGCACGTGCTAAACTGGCAACTAGGCCGGAAGTGTAGGGATGGCAAGGCGGGAATGACTTGTGCCAGGACGCAGCGAGCTCACACCATGTGGCACTTGAACCAAACGGAACTCTAGATAAACAGGTATGTTATGAACATGTTTCATCCAATGTTTTTAGCCGCCATATTTCTTGTAAAAACAACCAGGGTGAACTCGACAGTAAATACCCAATTGCTATAAAATGCACTTGAACTACCACGTGGCTCACATGGTTTACATGATCGAGAGTCTAGTCCAGCTTGTGCACAAACTGTCCCTCTTAGTGAAAGTTGCTCAGTGGAAAATTACAATTCAGAATTATTTGTTAATAAACTTGGACAAATTAGTGCTATTAACATAAATGTGTGCGGTCTGAGAAAACGACTTAATTATCCAGAGTTTTTGGATCTTGTAAATAGTTTTAACTTTGTTGCTCTTCAAGAAACCAAAACAGATACACTCGATGATATTGAAATTGATGGCTGTAAACTGTTTTTGAAACACAGGGGCCTGGGTGACAGGCGTTCGGGAGGTATAGGCCTTGCAGTTAAACTTTGTTTCTCTACATATGTCACTTTATTAGATTTTGAATCGGATTACATACTATGTTTTAAACTCTCTAAGTTAGCTTTCAATAGCAAAGATGACCTTTTAATTGGTATTGTGTACCTTCCACCTTAAGGTTCTAGTGAGTGAGTGAGTGAGTTAAGATTTTAAGTCACATCGGCAATATTTCAGCCATATCGTGACTTTCAAAAGTTATATATAATAAATACATGTAAACCATAAAAACCTGTCGACAAGGGACAGTAAAATAACTAGACTTATCACAGATTAGTATGTAAAACTAGCAGGGAACCATAAAAATACATCACTAGACAGGACAATACATTATAAAATGGGCTATAGATCGCCAGCAACTGAAGGTAGATCACCATACTGGGGACCATGGGGACTTACAGTACCTTTGCTACCTGCATTGACCCCAGCAGGATTTACATCATCCCTTCAGTTGTTGGCGACGATTAGGGAATGTAGCTGTATTTAAAAGAACATATATTCTACGATTAAAACTATGATAGGAATAACAGACGTCGAATGATATGGACTTACTATGCCCTCTCAGGGGGACAATAATTTTACAGTACTTTAACCCCCGTCAAGGGCACAGCCATTAACAATCTCAGTTCACAATTAGACACTATCAAATTAAGAAACAATTATGTACATCAAAATTTATTTATCAGTTCAATTTCTTTTAAAAAGTTAATTATTAAATGAGACGAAACATTATTAAAAAGATCCATTATTGAAGTTGCACTGAAATATTTATCCCTTGTGATGGAAAAATCAATACAGTCAAGCAGAACATGCTTGACCGTGATTCTCTCATCACAAGGGATACAAAATGGAGGATCCTCGCTTTTTAAAATATATTCGTGTGTATACCTGCTATGGCCAATACGACATCGTCGCATAATGACCTCTTCAAATCTGGACTGACAGCCCAAGTAGGTGTAACCAATATTTGGTTTAATTACATGTAATTTATTGATACCGACTTGGGAGTCCCACTTCTTTTGCATAAGATCACAAATATAAGATCTGATTACAGGTTTAAAATCAGTGTATGGGATAAGAAGTGGTGTCACAGATTTGTTGAGTGCTGCTTTAGCAGCAGCATCAGCCATTGAGTTGCCTTTGATGCCCACATGACTGGGCAACCAACAAAAGACGATGTCGTATTGGCCAGTAGCAAGTTCATTAAATAATTCAATAATTTTGATTAAAAGTGGATGTTGACAGGATACGTTATGGATAGCCTGCAGGCAAGAAAGAGAATCGGAAAATATGATAAATTTCTTATATTTTGACTGTTTACTGATATATTGTAAAGCTGTTAAAATGGCATTGGCCTCTGCTGTGAAAATAGAACTATTATCGGGTAATCTGGAGGAGAGAGTCCTAGATCCAATGACAGTGGCGCTGGCAACAGCGCCACTATCCTTGGATCCATCAGTAAATATAGATTTGTAAGTATTATATGTGTTTCTTAATTCATTGTATTTTTGTTGATAAATAAGTGGATTTGTTTCCGATTTCTTTAATTTAGTAAATGTCAGATCCACCTCTGGCTTTACCAACTGCCAAGGTGGAGAAGACAAAAGCTGCGTGGGGGCTATATCTTCAAGATTAATTTGAGCAGCTGAAATATCAGATTGAAGTCTTATTCCAAGTGGGGGGAGAACCGATGATTTGTTTTTATAGAGATTTTCATAAAGGGGGTGAAAAACACAGTCATATGCTGGATTCGAATTATTAGAGCGTAATTTAGAGACATACTGTAAGGATAACTTAATGCGGCGTTGTTTAAGAGATGGCTCATCAGCTTCAACGTACAGACTGTGAATAGGAGAAGTTCGGAAAGATCCAAGACATAGTCTGGATGATGGATAGTATCCAAAAGTTTAAGGTTGCTTTTGCAGGCTCCACCATAGATGATGGAGCCATAATCCAGTTTAGAGCGAATTAGTGCTCTGTATAATTGGAGTAGGGTTTTCTGATCCCCTCCCCACTTGGAATTTGAAACAACTTTCAGTAGGTCAAGGGCCTTCAGGCATTTATTTTTCAAATATTTTATATGTGGTAAAAAGGTTAAATGGTGGTCAAAAATAATACCCAGGAATTTAGCCTCTTTTACAACTTTAATGGGTGTGCTATCTAAAACTAACTCAGGGTCTTTATGATGTTTGTATTTCCTACAAAAGTGTAAACAGTTTGTTTTGGATTTCGAAAATTTAAAACCATTTTCTAAACACCATCTACCTATCTTATTGAGACATAATTGTAATTGTCTTTCGATAGTATGCATGTTTTTACCACGACATGATATGTTAAAGTCATCCACGAATAAAGATCCATCAATGGAGTCATTTAAAACCTTAGATGGGCAATTTATTTTAATGCTGAACAATGTGACAGACAAAATACTGCCTTGTGGGACACCCTGATCCTGATTATAATGATCAGACAGGGTAGTACCCACGCGGACTTGAAATTGTCTGTCAGATAAAAACTTGGATATAAATTGAGGCAAACGGCCTCGCAATCCAAAGTCATGTAAGTCTTTTAAAATACCGTGCTTCCATGTAGTGTCGTATGCTTTTTCTAGATCGAAAAAGATAGACACTGCATGTTGCTTATTTACAATGGCATTCTTAACGAATGACTCCAGTCGAACTAAGTGGTCAATGGTACTGCGATTTTTACGGAATCCACATTCGATATTTGTGATTAAGTCATTTGATTCCAAATACCAGGTTAATCTGTTATTGACCATGCGTTCCATGGTTTTGCAAACGCAACTAGTCAATGAAATTGATCGATAATTGGAAGGATCAGTATGATCACGACCAGGTTTAGGTATGGGAATTACTATAGCATCACGCCATGAAGAAGGAAATTCTCCTGACGTCCAGATTTTATCAAAGATCATCAAGAGGGTTTCTAAACAGGATTGCGGTAAATGTTTTAAGAGTTGATAATGTATATTATCAGACCCTGAAGCAGTGTCATGAGCTTGCACAAGGGCAGTATTGAGTTCATGAATGGAAAAGATTTCATTGTAATCCTCGCCATTATCTGAATTAAAATTTATAGGTTTCTTTTCTTGCTGCTTTTGATATTTTTGGAATTGAGGGGCATAGTTCGAGGAGGAAGAATGTTGAGCCAGAGTTTCACCAAGTTTATTAGCAATATCTGAAGTATCGGTTAATAAGTCATTCCCATTTTTAAGGTGGTGAACACCTAATTTAGAACCCTTACCTTTAATTTTCTTAATCATGTTCCATACCTTAGATATCGGCGTACGTGAATTTATCTTGGAGACATAATTTTGCCAAGACTGACGCTTATTTTGTTTAAAAGTACGCCGTGCCTTAGCGTTTAATATTTTAAATTTATTTAAATTGTGGACCATAGGATGGCGACGGAAATATTGTTCAGCTTTTTTCCTTGCCTTCCTAGCTAGTTTGCAATCATTGCTGAACCATGGTTTACGTATGTGAGGATTTGAAGAGGACTTCGGAATACATTTATCAGCTATTTGATTTAGTTTATCAGAAAACAGTTTTATAGGGTCGGAAACATCGAGAAAACCATCAGGTTTAAGATGATTAGTGCAAAGGACTTCATATAATGCCCAGTTTGCCTTAGTAAAATTCCATCGCGATGACGGAGAAACATCAGAAGGTGTCACAGATTGTAAAATAGTAGGAAAATGGTCACTTCCACAGAGGTCATCGTGGACTGACCATTCAAATTCATTAAGTAAATCAGAATCTACAACTGACAGGTCTAAACAAGAGTAAGTGCCAGTTGCAGGATGGAGATATGTGTGAGTACCATCATTAAATATGCATAAATCATTATTTAAGAGAAAATCCTCAAGTACCTTTCCCTTATTATTAGTGACATTACTACCCCAAAGTGGGTTATGACCATTCAGATCACCCATGATAGCACACGGCTTAGGGAGCTGGTCATATAGTGCCTGAAGATCAGACTGTCGAAGAGAGTACGATGGTGGTACATACAAAGAACATAATGTAAAAACAACATTTAATGTTACACGTACCGCAACAGCCTGAAGAGGGGTATTGAGAGGTACAGGACTGTGGATGATGCCCTGCCTCACAATAACAGAAGATCCCCCAGTTGCTCTATCCCCCGGAGGGGAAAAGCAATGGTAGGAATCATACTGTCTTAAATCAAATTTGTCAGTAATGTTAAGGAAAGTTTCTTGTAAACAAAATGCAGATGGTTTTAAATCTTGAATTAAAAGCTGAAGGTCATTTAAATTGTTCCGAAGTCCTCGGCAATTCCATTGTATTAAGGGAGCAGAGCAGCTCATGGGGGTTCAATTGGAGATCGTGATCTGGGGGAAGGTCCTCTACGCTGTAATGCCAGCGAAGGAGTGACCTCCATAGCTAGAGGTTCAAAAGTGTTATGAACCTCTACAGGGATGATCAAAGGAGATGGCACCTCTACTTGTTTGAGGGCCCTTAATTCTTTCTTTTTCAATTGTTTCTTTTCCTTGTTCGTGAGATGTTTAGTGTTAGGTACTTCTCTCACTGTCTCAGGTTTAGGAACAGTCACAGGTACTGCCAAAGGTACAGGTACAGCCTCAGACACAGGCACAGACTCAGACTGAAGCTCAGTCTGAGATGCAGACGAAGAAGAGTCATTGCTGTATCGAGGAACTGGAGGTAAGACTGACTGCTTGTCAGAGACCCAGCTGATGTCTGTCTGACATGCACAGTCAACTTTGCGAGTGGAAGTAGCAACTGCAGCAGAATACGACAAGGAGGAAGGTGTGTTCGGAGTTTGTTGAGCCAAGAGTTTCATAGCGTCGGAAAAGGAAACGTTATTAGTGTATTTAATTTTGAGAAGCTGAGATTGTTTCAGATAGAATGGACAGGATTTGGAAGAAGATAAGTGCTCACCACTGCAGTTTGCACAATGGATAACATCTGTGCAATCAGCACTATCATGACTTTTACTGCATCGGGAGCAAACGGGGGACTTGTCACAGGATTTGGCCCCATGGCCAAATTTCTGGCACTTGAAACAACGGAGCGGATTTGGAATATACACATCCACTCCGATGTTGAAATAACCGGCTTTAATTGAAGTAGGTACTTTTGGACAGGCAAAAGTGAGAAGATAAGTGGTTGTTGGTACAATCCTGTCATTATCTTTCCTTGTGAATCTTTTCACAGACGTGACTCCTTGAGATTTAAGTTCAACCGTAATTTCCTCTTCTGACATGTCAGAAAGACATCTGGCACGATCACGGATGATACCTCTACATGAATTCAAATATTTGTGAATAGAGACAGCAATTTCTACATTTCCGAAATGGTGTGCATTAAGCAGATTTATGGACTGTTGACGTTTAGAACATTCAACAAGCAATGACCCGTTCCGGAGGCGAGTCACGTTCTTTACATCTCCACAAATTCCTTCAAGAGCTTTCGACACAATGAAAGGGTTGATCTTAAGAGGAGCTCCATCAACACCATCGACCACCAGAAAGCGGGGCCAGGAGTCAACATTAAGTTGTGACGTACACTCATCATCAGAGGATGAAATTGTGTCTGTGTCTAAATGTCGTCTCTTATTTTTCGTTCGAGAACCAGTGTATTGTTGAGTAGCCATGATATAGAAAAGTGATTCAACATCCCGGCTCCCCACCCACCATGGAGTGTCAACAAGGACGATATTGTAGTGGAAGCCGACTACAAACACCAGGGTTACGGGGATGCTATACTCCAGCAAGAAGGACACAGGTAGCTATATATGTCAAACAGAAGAAAAGTCAGGCTGGTTCGGCCCTTGACAATTATCTCAAGACAAATAGAACCCGGAGGTCAATAATGCCAGATTGGCCCATGAGCCACCGCCTACAGGCATTGGACTCTAGGCAAAGTTACAGCCATACAGTTATAATGAGCAATATTCAAAAGTACTTTGTATAAGTAATACAATACTATGTATTTACCATGCCAGGGCATGACATGACCAGCCGATTGATAGAACCGGGCCCATTCTACCACCCGTCTAGGTGAAGTAAGGGTCAAAGTGGTGTGTTGGGCAAAAGGAACACCTGTTCCTGGCTCCAGTGCCCTCAACCACCAGAATCCCGTCCTCCACCGACACAGGGGCGCAACCCACGGCAAACGGGCTGCCCACTTTGGTCGCCTCTTACGACCAGCAATGGGGTGCTGTGGAAATATTCTACCCCGGTTCCACACGGGGGAAGAGCGATTAGCGTTACCCAGCACTCACCACGAGGAGGTTGCTCTTCACGAGTGCCCCTTAAGGTTCTAAGTACGCCACTACAGACATGTTTGATCAGTTAGAACAAGCACGATTATATATGTACTCTCACACTGAAGCCGTCATCCTTAAAGGAGAATTTAATGCTCGTACTGGAACACTGTGTGAATATGCCTGTTTAGATAAACATTTGTTAGAGGAATTAGATATTGATTCTGATGAAATGTCAGATGACTTTGATCCTGAATCTGTTCTAGATAAACTCGGACTTCCACGTCAGCGATACTCGTACAATAGTAACAAAATTAATAATTACGGTTACAAATTGATTGACATCTGTAAAAAAAGTTATATGTTTATTTGTAATGGAAGAATGGACAAAGAGGCAAAATCCGGAAAGGTTACCTGTAAGGATACAAGTACTGTTGACTATGTCATATGTTCCAACAGGTGCCTGTCATATTTTAAGAGCTTTAACATTGTTGATTGTTCTCCACTATACTAAGATGTACATTGTCCTATAGCACTTTCGTTATCAAGTATGAATAACAGAATGTATGGTAATGTACCTAAATCATCTACCAGTAAACCTGTAACAATTTCTACAAAACCCAAAAGATATGACTCATCAAAAACAAACCAATACAGGAACAATATTGATGTTATGCAGATACAAGATGTAAGCACATTATTAGATAAAGTGGTTGATGACACTACGAAGGCAAATGAATAAATTAATAATGCAACTGTTATCTTCTCTGATATTCTTACAAATGCAGCAATAAATACATTTGGCATACGCTCTTCCCCCTCATATATTTATACTGGCAATAAGAAACATAAAGTTAACAAACCTTGGTTCGGAAAAGAATGTACTCTGAAGACACTACCATAAAGCTAGGAGAAAATATCGAAGACATAGGAATCAAGACAACCATATCTGTTTTAGTCATGCACCTAAGGAGTATAATAAATGTATGAACAAATATATGAAACGATATAAATGTAAATTAGCCGTTGAAATTAGAGATTGGCAGAAGAAGAACCAAAGGGACTACTGGAAATTACTGCGTAAATGTAAGCCTGCGCATAATCACTCATCCCCCAGTGTTAAAGAACTATATGAATACTTTAAGAATATAAACGCACAAGAGTATGATGATATAGTTCCTGAAGATATTAATAATACACATGTACCCTTAGATTGCTCAGTTCTTAATGTTGCCATACCACAACAAGAAATTAGTGAATTAGTATCAAAACGGAAAAGAAATAAAGCATCAGGTGAAGACTTTGTAGAAAACGAATATATAATTGACTCAATAGATTTATTTCTCCCATTTTTAGAGAAACTTTTTAATGTCGTACTTGACACAGGTGAAGTTCCCGACTCATGGTTAATTGGGGTCATTAAACCTATCTATGAAGGTAAAGGTGACTCGTGTGATCCTAGTTCATATTGACCCATTACAATTTTGAGCTGTCTGGGAAAACTTTTTACAAGTATACTTAACTGTAGATTATCCAGATTTATAAACATTAATTCTTTATTATCCCCTTGCCAAGCCGGTTTTCGTAAAGGTTACTCAACAGTTGATAACATGTTTGTTCTTAATTCAGTTATAGAATTCCTAAAACACAACAAACAGAAATTGTACTGTGCATTCATTGACTTTTCTAAAGCTTTTGACAACTTTTGGAGAGTTGGTCTTTGGTAAAAAATGTTAACTTATGGTATCCAAGGAAAATTCTTTACATTAGTACAAAAAATGTATTCCAATATAAAATCCTGTGTCGAGTTTAATCATGAAAAATCTGCGTTTTTCCCAAGTTTTTCGGGGGTCCGACAGTGAGAAAACCTTTCTCCGTTATTGTTGTCGATCTTTATAAATGATTTAGAATCCAGACTAAAAACATTGATTGTAATGGTGTTGATATATCCTGCAAACATGATTTGAATTTAGTTTGTCTACAACTACTAGTTCTGTAATATGCAGACGATACAGTGCTATTTGCTACTTCAGCGTCAGCCCTGCAGAGGTCCCTGGATTATTTTCATGTTAATTGTCAGAAATGAAAACTAACTGTAAATAGTGACAAAACTAAAATTGTTATTTTTGGAAGTGATAAGTGTAAAGTAAATAAGCCATCATTTTACTATGACAAAGAAGAAATTGAAATAGTTTATAATTATAAATATCTAGGTTTTATCTTTCACAAAAATAGAAAATTTACATTTGGTATAAGTGTTCTAGCCACACAAGCTAAGAAATGTATGTTTTTTGTTATTGAAATGGCAAGTAACAATGATTTACCACTTGACTGCGTGTTTAAAGCATTCGATTTAATGATTTTATCCATTATGTTATATGGCTCTGAATTTTGGGGACATGTTAAAATAGATATACTTGGAAAAAAACATACCAACTTTTTAAAATAAGCCTCTGGTCTCAGAATGTCCACACCGAATTATTTCTTATATGGTGAATTTGGAAGATTTCCTATCAGCATCCATGTTTCTAAAAGAATGATTAGTTATTGGTATAAACTCAACACGCCCCTGTCTCACCTTAAGTTATACTCGGTACTGTACAACTTCATGTCTTTAGATAGTGTGTAAAATAATCATTCTTATTCTTGGCTTAAGTTTGTTGAAAATATCCTTTACTCATGTGGGCTAGGTAATGTTTATATGTTCCCAGGTAATTTTAACAGAACATGGCTGCTTACTAAAGTAGAAACTACACTAAAAGATCTCTTTTACCAAGTATGTAGGAATGCAATAGAAGTAAGTCCCAAGGGACAACATTAAGACCCTACCACTACTTGATGCCTTTATCTTATTGCCCAAATATATTTACTACCCACTATTAAAATTTAGAACATCCAATCATTGCTTACCTATTGAGACAGGGCGTTGGTATAATACTCCAAGGGAATTTAGAACTTGTAAATTGTGTGACTCTCAATTGCAGACGAGTTTCATTATATATTTCGTTGTCCTGCTTAAGGTTTTGATGAAAATAGAAAAAGATTTATTTCAACAAAACTAACCAAATTTTCCAATATGGTATCTCATAGACGGTTGTTTACATCATCAGATTTCACTGTTTTAAGAAACTTGGCAAAGTGTATAAATGTTATCTTCTCTGTTATATCAAAACTTCGATAATAGACATGCATATTATATCTGAAACTGTTTACCTACAATATTTTGTTTAGTCCGCCGCCATTTTGACTACTTGTATATAATGATTGACATGTAAAATGTACTCTAATACCACCATGCGTGGTTCTCTGGAGAATAAAGTGAAGTAAAGTGAAGTTAATCCGACACAATCATCAGTGTACTCTGTGGTCATCTGCCCACGAGTACACAGCCCCATGTTTTGATGCGAGACGAATCGGCTGGTAGCTGCATATTACAACGGCTGCCGAGATAAACTTGCTTTACAATAAACAATTAATGCTTTAAATAAAAAGAAAACAGGACAAATCACATGCTTAGATTAACTCAATCTTATTAAAATCGGATACAAGTTCTCGCTCACGAGGAGGACATCCCATTACAGGTCACGTCAGAACAACCTTTCGCGATCTATGACCTACCAATGAAATGACCAACAGGAAGTCGACGTTAGCCTACTAGAAAGCAGTTTTCTTAAGCTTTAGGTACCAGTTTTAAAGTTGCGACTTCCATTCCAGACTATGCTTTTTAAAGTATTTTGAAAAAGTCATACAGTCCGTAACAGTTGTTTTGTGTTAAACTTTAGAGGTTACATGGATAGAAAACATATTCCGCCAACAATATATTAATGTAACATAACAATATGAATATTTATTTTATATTTTTTATTACGTGTTTGAATCGTTATATCTATCGTGTAGTTTCGATCACGAACGTTGATACTACTTCATTTCGTTTATCCGACGGGACTTGACTGTATATGTTTCTGTATAATCAAAAGACTTGGGACATTATCAAAAGTCACGTGATTTTGAAGCAGCCATTTTGAAAAAGCGTGAAATTAATTTGTAAAGCAGGAATTTCTATGAACGTTGTGGTTATCTCGACATTTTGAGCGTGATATTTTACAAATTTCGAACAATACACGAACCTTGGTAGAAGATATACTTCGAATTCCAAAAACAAAGAAAACAGCAGAAATAGCAGACGTAAAAACTGTTTGGGCTATCGAAGGATATCGAAGCCAAAACAAAAATTGGTCCTCCTACAGAGTTGTAGTTGTGCCCAAAGAAGGAGGAGAAGTTGTTGCTGTTTGGTCTAACAAACAATTCGCAAAAGTGCTAGACAAATGCCACGACTTTTAGAAAGCCATGTAGACAGATTCGAAAGAGAAATTTGCTGGATCCACAGC